ATTGGAGGCTACTCCATCATAGCGCTGGCCGTGGACAGCGGTGCAGTGTAGGCAATTCCCAACGATATCAACCATCCATGAATGCTGTGGAGCAGCGTACGGCGCAGGATTACACCTTTGAAGCCTTGCATCGTATTTACTTTTATGATGCGTGGAGAACACAGCCGGTCCTTGGCGCCCCAGAGTCCGACCTAGTCCTGCTGCCGCATCCTGGCCTCTTGACACAAGGCTGTTACTGGCCGCCGCGAAATATAGAGGAGGAGGTCCTCTCCGTCTCAGACGTTGCCGTCAAGACAGATGACCAAGCCTGCCAAACGCCGACCTCGCCTGAGGCAGCTGATGCTGTCATGACAGATGAGGAGGCAAATGACATTGTCTCGGTCCTCAGCTCCTCTACAGTGCCGTCCACCCTGCCGAGCACGGACCACCCAGAAGAGGCTGACTCCCCCATGGGAGGCAAAGAAGGGGAAGCCAACCCAGGGAGGAAGCGGGTGACTGCCTTAGCAATCGTCCAGCGTCCTCCAGCTCACGACCAGTTGATAATGAAATGCTGGAGGAAAATGTAGAGGGTTGTAGTGCGATCCCACCGCAAGGAGTTGATCCCCACAAGGCCACCCGTCACATTCCTCGGAGTCTGCATCCCACCGTCCCTGCTTTACATTGCCCGGCGTGCTTTTGCAGGCTGTACGCAGCTTCGAGCAGTTTGGAAAAAGGGGAAAAGCAAGACATGGCGAGGTACATATGCCCGGCCCAATGCCTTTGACAAACGCGAGCAACTAGACAAGCCCAAGTGGCTCCGATTCCTGCCGCCAAATGCCAACGACCAATGGAGAGAAGACTTTCAAGAAGCCTTACCCTAGGCTGACAACGCTCTAACAACAGTGGTGGTGCATTGCTCCTCAGCCACTTCGATTACCTGTGCTAGGCAAGTTCAAGAAAGCTCAGGCTAAACCATCCTTTCGGCCCCAGTAACTACATTACAGTGAGCCTGTAGGAACGAGAGCCTTAGCTTTCGCTCCTTAGAGGCGGGTGGTAGAGAATGGTAATGGAAGGTTGCCAGGGGGAACCTTAATTCTCCTTGCAGCGACCACGCCATGACCATGCTAGGATAGGTCCAAGTTTCACCTGTCTCACCCGGGCCTTGCATGCAACAGGAGACGTTTTGCAACTCAGTGCCGCTCTCTCTTTTTGAAACAGGGAGTACCCCAATGGCACTCCTTGTCTGCTAAGGGGTGCAATGGTGACCTCCCTGCGGGGGGGGATGGCAACACCATCGTCAGCAAATCCCTTTCGTTGTCTCTGCCTCCACTGCCTGACAATTGACATGCCTCTCGTCTTTGTCGTGCAATCAGTTGAAAGGGTTGTACACCGAGACGGGCTTTTTCCATGGCTTGATAGGCGGAGCAAGAACTGACTCCTCTGGGCAAGGATCAGACTGGCTGACAATAAATAATGCAGGTTTTGCATTGTACCTGATCATCGGCTTTGCCATTCGATGCAGTGGCCCCCTTGGTCACAGTTTGGTGGGTGGGGCGAAGCCCCTTTGATAGGCTTTGCTGCACTCCGCTCATGCGCCGACCATGCCTTCCGACTTTCATAGTGAATTCAGGCCCCTAGTTAGTTCGCAGTCTTTCTCACACGTCTCACCTTGGTACAGAGGAAACACTTTTTGATGAGGGAGAAACGGCCTCTGGCCTTGGGTGTGTTTTTTGTTCTTGGTTTTGGTTTTTGTTTGTTGTTCTGTTTGGTTTGGGGTTGCTTGTGTTCTTTTCCCCTCATCATGTTGTGTTTCCTTCCCTTTCAATGATGACCTGGGCACTCCGCCCACATGGCGTCCGCACTCGTGGAAAAAAAACTTCTCGACCCCCCCCGGATATGCGTCTTTGGGTGACCTGCTTGCCCCTCATGGATAGGTAGCAAATCCCACCTGGGATGGTGAGTGCATGACACCCTTCAAATGCATTGGCTGCAACTTGTAGGCGGCGTCGGTTGACCTTTGTACTGCGATGGGTGAGACACACCAACTGACTGCACCCTGCAAAGGCTCTGTGTCCAATGTAGCGGAGTTGCTGGGGGGAGCGCAACTGTACACAACGACCCACAGGCTTCGAAAGCTTCTGCACCAATCTCGGCGAGGTGCTTTGGCAGGGATGCGGTTGCTCGGGGCATGCTAATCACCCGTATTCGGCCGAATGGAAGCATCCCGTTGGCAAGCCAACCAGGGAGGACAAGGCAACCCGCATATCTGTGACGGCTCTGATCGAGGGGAGGCCTATCTGTACAAGTTTTTCACATCCCTCAAAAGCATGTGACGGTAGCCCCCCTTGCAAGTCGGCAGGAGTTTTCTGTGAGCACACCTACCTGTTCGAGGGCACAACATTCTGCGAAGAGTCTGGCTCCTAGGGACACGCACCCTGGCATTGCCACTGTGGTGAGCGCATAACACCCTTGGAAGGCAGCATTCGCAATTGCCACCACAGAGCTAGGCAGTTTGACAATAGTGAGGGTGTGGCAATAGCGCCACGCCTGTCGCTCTATGGTGTGGTAGCCTGCTTCTACTTGCGCATGACGAAGCCGGGCTATGGCGAAAAAAGCTTTGGCAGGGAGAATGCCTGATTCATTTGCAGGGACCCAAATGGCTTTGGGGTGATTGTCATACTCTTCCCTTCGGATCTGCTCCTTCGAGCTCACTTTGTGGAAGCTTTTTTGGATAACCAAGCACATCGAGGCACTTTGCCAAAATAGCACGGCCTGTAGACATTGTCTGTGTCCTTGCGCACTGTCGCACTGCTTCGTCGCTGTCGCTCCCGTTGTTCATTTTGGAGCCACAGTCAAGGTGCGGACGCATGACACTCCCTCCCCCCTGTGGGGAGGGGTACTGCTGTTGCTAGACCTTTCGGCCACTTGATTTGTCGCAGGTCCTTGCAAGTCATGGCTTTCGAAAGCTTGTAGTTCTCGACTGCCTTCACCACCCCTTTTCCAGCTAGCAAATTCTCGTTGACTGGTTGACTACACACAACCAACTCGTACTCTCAAAGCAAATTCCTCGGGATTTTGACTACAGTGAGTAGGGCCACTTGTCGCAATCTCATTCGTCGCAATCCAAGCATCCACTACGTGTGCGTGAACAATGCAACTGCCACATTATGCAATGCGTGCCAATCTGAAGCTGTCGTCGGCGCGGCCGTGTTCTTGGACATAAGTCACGAAACTGCCGAGTTGCAGCTGCAATGTTCGAAAACGCTCACGATCCTTCTGCATGTGCTTGGATACCTTTTCGCACACATAGGCGATGACTCCTTTGCCATACAATACTCACTGCCCGAAGAAAGAAACTCCGCTGCCTGGCCATCACGTACTGAGAGTATGTAGGAACGAATTCAGAGCCCCGTTTCACCATGTTTCACATTTCTTTTGCCTCAGCTTACACAGCCCATCTGAGATACGAACCTTGCTGTTTTGGTTGGTTTGTGTTGTTGGTTGTTTTGGTGGTTTTGGTTGTTTGGTTGCTTGGCGCCCCTCTCTTGTGCTTGGCTCGTATCTCATTAGTATCTCCATTTAATTCAATCAAGGTGACTTGCGCCTCTCGGCACACACAGCGCCTCCACCCGTGCAAAAAAAACAGGAACTGCATTACGCATTGGCCCCATGCCCCATGGTGCCAAGCCTGTGTGGCGCGTCGAGCCAAGGAGGACCACTGCAAGAATGTGAATGAGAAGGAGGACATTGGAAAGAACATCATCCAGCTGGACTTCTTCCACACGCACACAGGCGAGGAAGGGCGCCTTGATGAGACGCCAGCTGGGAAGGTTCAAGAGAGACAAAGGCTTTTACTAGCCTAAGGTGACTTGTGCATAACCTGCACACATAGCGCCTCGACACGTGCAAAAAAACAGTTCAAGAGAGACAAGATCAACACGGAACATGCTCTGTGCCTATTCGCACAAAGGGCAGTGCGAGCCTGAAGAATCACGGAGGAGATTGTGAGATTCACCCTCGAGAATGCCTCCAGGGGACAATTGCATCCTGCAGGCGGACGGTGAACGGGCCACCAGACACCTCTAACGGCCAAGCAGAACGAGCAGTACAAACTGTCAGAAGGCTAGCGAACTGCCTGAGAGCCTTTACTGAAGACCGAGCGCGAATCAACATCTTGGGAAACTTTGTGGCTGTCCATTGTTTGCCGGAGGGCAGGTAACCGTAGCGAATGGTTACACAAAGTTGGAACGGTCTATGACAGACAGTGTCACATTGTTCTTTTGCGGGGGCAGGTGGTTGTCCTTGGCCCTTAGCTAGTGCCGAAAGTTGCATGTTGTTACTAATAATTCGGGACTTCAAATTGCGCGCGCTTGGGGAAGTACATGGGGGATTCGGTGTTTTTTCAATGTTTGCTTGGTCGCCGGAAATTTGCAGACCTCTCCATACTCTGTGTCAACTTACGTTCAATGGCACCGGTATCAGATGAGCAGTAGACCTATTTTGAGGAAGTTAAACTTCCACTGGGTGTGATCAATGTACTATATAGATAGTCAGAAAAAACATGAAATATGTAGCATCCAAAACAGGACAAAATAGGAACCAAAATAAAAACTGTTAGGAGTTTCATTCCTTGACACATGTCACAGAACATGTTCACAACCCTCGTGGCTCACAGTGGCCCAAGCCGATTTGAAAATAGCCGGCGCGAGCTTCGCTTGTTTTTCATGGTAGCGGAGCCAACCAAAGTGTTGGCTCCAGTCCCGCAGTACCTAGCATCGCGCTGGTTGGCACCCGCCTTGGCCTTTTCGATGATGATTGGGGTACGCGGTGACGTGGACGACGTCGTCTACAAGCAGGAGCACCAGGACAACATCTTCTACAAGGTCTACGACTTCGAGATGGAGGAGAACGAGGTGACGAAGAACTTTCAAGTTTGGTTGGAGGCTGAGATCTTTGGGTTTGATGAGTTTGAGGAGCGTGGAAGGTGGATTGGAACCACCAGAACCCTGGACAGCTCAAGGATGGCCTGGTCTGAGGCCAGACGGAAGCTTTGGCAGTGGAGTCATGACCACAATGCCACGGAGATCAACGACAAGATGGCCATGATTGGGGATTGGCGCCCTGATGGAGGTGAAGTTTTGCAGACCAGTTGGGATTGGAACCCGACAAGTCTGGAAGTCGAGGATTGGCACCTTGGCTGGAATGAACCCTTTGGCCATGGGTTGAACTTCATGAAGAAGTTTGTGAATGGAACCAACTATGAGCTGATCTTTGACATCGCTGCAACGTATGTCCTAGTGACTATGGAATGGATTGCAAGCCTCTTCCTCTTTGAGTTCATCGATTACACGATCATGAAGATGGTCTTTGTGCTTCTGGCTGCAATGGCCGGCGCTTTGGTGATCCAGAGCAAGATGAGGAAAGAGCCCAAGAATATGAAGGGCCACTTGGGATCATGGGCCTACCAAGCTTCCCGAAGGACAAGAGCATGGTGGAGAACTTGTTGCAGTTGGACCTCCTTTTGGACCAATACAGGTTGGCTTCTGGGCATCCAATGCCTGATGACCTGGTGGTGTCCACGGTCATGAGGTGCGTGGATATCAATGTGAAGAAGCACCTTGAGCTGACCATGGACGACTCCCTTGACTACCAGCAGTTGAAGGAGCGGTTGATTGTGATGGACAAGAACTCTCAAGCTTGGTCGGGAGACACTTACTTGAAGATGGTCCAAAATTCTATGACCTCCTCAAGCTCTACAGGGCCTACTCCGATGGAGGTTGACCAGGTTGGCCAAGTGAAAGGCAAATACAAAGGGAAGCAGAAGGGCAAAGACAAAAAGGGCCCCTGTTTCTATGGTGCCAGCAGAAGTTGAACTTTGAGCCGCCAATGCCTTGGGTCACATGTGAACCCGCTTTGATTCAGCCCCCAGCGGTGGCTGGTTTCCTTATGGCTTTGGTGGAGGAAAGTATGGCGGCAAGAACTCCAAGGGCAAGAGCAAGAAAGGACAAGGAAAGAAGGGCAAGAAAGGCAAGGGCAAAAGTCAGTTCAATGGCAAGGGCAAAGGTGGAGGACAAGACCGCAACACATGTCGTCTTTGCGGACAACAAGGTCACTGGGGCAATGAATGTCCTAATCGTCAACGAGCTCAGACAGTGACAAACCAAAATCAGACGCCCAACAGTGTTGCAGAGAGCGAGATTGCAAGTTCAGCTGGTGGAAAGAAAGATTCGCAGTGGATCTTCAGTGGCATCAACAACATACACCACTCCAAAACAACAGGTCAGGCAAGTGCGCATGTACCATGTTGCAACTCCAACGAACACAAGTTCACCAATGATGTTTGACATCAAGAGTGAAGGTGGTGACAGCTGGATTTATGATGACAACTATCAGATCAACACCGTCTACTTTGCAATGGATGGTGAGTCAGATTGGGATGAACAAGATTTCCAGCATGACAAAACTTGGAGGTGGTACATGGATGCACACTCACGCAGGTATGCTTTGACTGAAGCTGAACTGGAACCAACAGAGACCTTCTATGTCTGCACGGTGCGAGAGAGCCAGCAGAAGACGTTGATTGTCTTGGATTCTGGAGCTGATGGCACACTACGGCCGAGCAAGCAAGATGGGCAAAGGAGTTCTTGAAGATGCTCAAGGAGGCAAGTTGACCACGTTTGGAAAGAAGTTGGCACAGATTGAATGTGATGGAGAAGAAGCAATGGTGATCATCGAAGATGATTTTGTCGTGGCCTCTGTGCAGTCTCCTTTGATTAGCCTTGGAAGGCTGCTGCAACGTGGTTGGCGCTTGATTCCTGGCAGTGGTGAGGCTGGTGTGCACCTACAAGCTCCTGATGGACTATGTTCCATTCCGTTGCTCTTCAAGAGGAATTCCCTAGCTCTTTATGGCAGCATTAGCCGAGTGACCCATGAACCCAATGAGGTGCAAGGAGAAGCTGGGGGACAAGTGTTTGATGACAATGAAACCTTGGTGGTGCGCGTGGTGGTGAAGTTGCATGACAGCTTCTTGGAAGACAACTCCAGAAGGAAATCCAGTCAGGTTCACCTACGAGACGAAGAATTTTGTTGATGGACAGCTGACGTGGAACTTGAACTGGTGGCCTCTTCGTTCCACCCTCATCAGGAAAGAAGATGACACTTGGGAAGTGGTTGAGCATTGCAACCGCTACTATGTCCAGGATGAGCCAGACGGTGAGATCCCGGAGTGTGGAGGAGAGACAACACAGACCCTCACTGTGCTTCATCGAAGGAAAGAGCCCATTAGCTTCTTTGGAAGCTTGATCGGAGAGCAGACTGTGACCGCAGGTGGAGCACAGATCGAAGAAGACAGCTTTCAGTTTGCAGCAGAACCTTCAGTGCCACTTGAGCTCAACCCTCAAAATGAACAAATTCCAGAAGAAGTTGATCAACAAGATCATGGTGAGCTCTGGGAAGGACCTTTACCTTTCTTCGAGAATCGAGAGGTTCTGGTAGTGAATGGAGCTGAGTTGCATGAGACGAGTTCCTTGTCAGTGCTGCGTGAAGCTGCAGAGTTCTTAGGCATTGGACGTGGTGGCTCAAAGCAATCCCTCTGAACGAGGCTGAATCAACAAGTTCAGACACTTGGGAACCAAGAACTCTTCCTGATTGCCAACAAGTTGTACAAAGAAGAAAGCCATCATCTGAAGAAGCGAGACAACTTCACAACCTGACCCACGTTCCTTTCAGGGCATGGTGTGACTTCTGTGTGGTTTGCAAGAGCAGAGATGATGCTCAACGACCTCTTGATCAAGGAGAAGATGAAGGAAGAAGATCGGTTCCAGCAATCCAGTTGGATTATGCCTTTGGACGCTCAAGGCAGGAGGAGAAGACTCCCCCAGAAGATCTTGTGACCATTTTGGTCGGAGTGGATGCAGAAACAAGAATGATGCTTGCAGTTCCAGTCGAAGGAAAAGGTGATGACCTCCGAAACCAAGCAGAGCATGTGGTGCGCTTCAGCCTGTCCTTGAACCAGTATGGCAATGTGGAGATAATTGGTGATAGTGAGCCAACAATGAAAGCTTTGCTAAGCTATGTGAAGACCCTTCGCCAAGGACTGGGTCTCGAGACAACCATCACCTTCAGCATGAAGAAAGGCCAGACAAGTCGAGTTGAGAGAGGCATCCAAACTTTGAGGCGACAAGCATCAACCTTGATGGAAATGCTGCAGGACCAATGCAAAATCAACTTGGGGGGGTGACCATCCTCTTTGGCAGCGGGCCTATTTGCACGCAGCTTGGATCTTGAACAGATTTGCATCCCACAGAGCCATTCAAGCTTCACCTTATGAAGTGGCCTTTGGAAGACGATACTGTGGGAAGGTAGTTTGCTTTGGAGAATATGTCATGATCCTCAATCGACAACCTGGTGCAAAGCAAGGTCCACAATGGTTGCCTGGAGTTTGGGTTGGAAAGACGCATGAGGATGACCTTCACCTGGTTGTGGGACATAATGGGTTGCTGAGAGGCAAAGCTATTAAGCTATTCGAAGGACTTCAGAGCCTTGGAGGTCGGTCTATGTTTTCCTGGTGAAAGAGAAGCCATATCGAAATCCTCACATTCGACGTCCTTTGAAGCTGATGCCTGCAACACCCATGATCCCTCGTGGTGTACGGAGACCTGGAAGACCGAAAGGCAGTGGCAACACAGGTGGAGGATTGGAGACACCAGCGCCAGGAGACACTGACACCTTCCAGCGAGACCAGGATGCGGATGATGTGGAGCGCTATGCACGTGAGCATGCAGGAACAGACAGCCCCATGGAGGAGAAGAAGAACAAGAGCAAGAGTGATGGAAAGCATGAAGATGAGCCAGCGGACAAGTTCATTCGTGTCCCACCTCTGCCAATGGGCAGTGACGAAGAAGAGACAGAGGTTGGAAAGAGAAGACCTAGCACACCTGAGGTCAAGTTACCTTTGACTCCTCGACGAGGTGAAGAAATGGTTGATGACAGCAAGGTAGATGAACCTCAACAGAAAGCAGCAAGAAGAGATCCAGCGCACAGTCCCTCAAGCTTGCGCACACCGTACTTTGCGGGAGATGTTCGACAAGTTCAGCATCCAGTAAATGATGAACCTTGGGAGGAAGAAATGGAGTCCTTCATTGACCATGAAGCTACTCAGGATTGGGATCCACTTGACATCGATGCTCTTGACGAAGGATGTCCTCCTGGGGTGAGTGAAGAAGAATTAAGGGTGATTGAAGAAGCAGCTGGACAAGAGGAGATTCACAGATTGTTGCAAATGGGTGTGCTCAGAGATCCAACAGAAGAAGAATTGATGACTGGCGATATTTTGACAACAAGAAGTGTCTTTGATTGGCGCGTGAGAGAAAGGAAGTGGAAGCGCAGGTGCCGCTTCGTGGCAAGGGAGTTCCGTGGTTCAGATGGATCTACATCCAAGACCTTTGCACCTACAAGTTCATTGAGCGGGACTCGCCTTCTTCTTTCCACACATGTGCTTCTTGGTTGGAAGATCATGTTTGTCGACATCAAGGACGCATTCCTCTTAGTTCGACAACAAAAGCTTGTGCTGGTGGAACAGCCAGATTGGTGGAACCCCAAAGAAAGGTGACTTGGAGATGGGAAGAAAGCGCTACTGGACGCTTGCAAGGTGTTGGCCAGGACAACGAGATGCTGCAGCACGATGGTATGAGTTCCTTGCAGACCATTTGGTGAAGTGAGGCTTCAAGAGTCATTTGAGTTTGCCTTGTTTGTTTCGCCATGAGACCAAGGCAATAGCAGCTGTTTGCCATGTTGATGACCTCATCATCGCTGGCGAGGTGGAGTCTTTGGAATGGCTGCTTGGCTCCATGAACCATGAGTTCACTTTGAGTGAGTCAGGGATTCTTCCACGCGCTGACCAGTCGGAGGAGGAAGCAATACGATGCCTGAAGAAGCGCCACTACTTCACAAAAGATGGCATTGTGATCATGCCTCACGAGAAGTACATTCCTGCTTTGGTGGAACTTTATGGTTTGGAGAAGAAAGCAGGCAAAGCAACTCCAGAAAGCATGCAGGTTGAACTTGAAGGCAATTCTGATGAACTTCTAGAAGGAGCTGACCAATTTCGCTTTCGCTCAGCTTTGGGAACTTTAATGTATGTGAGTCAAGACCGGGTCGACATCCAGCATTGCATCCGCAATTTGAGCCAGTTCATGGCACGACCCACAAGAAAGGCTGAGATGGAGATCAAGCATGCTATCCTCTACTTGCGGAGGACCGAACAGTATGGACTCCTGTTGCCATACCAAAAGTACAGAAGCAAGAAAGCAGAGATTCTGTGCCAGGTGGAGGAAGATGAAGGACCTTTCACTGACAGCGACTGGGCTGGAGACAAAAGCAGTCAAGCTCGACGACGGCATAGTGTAAGCTCAATTTGCATGTTTCTCAATGGCTGCATGGTGACTAGCTGGAGTAGATCTCAGAAGAG